ATAATAATAATAATAATAATATTCCACAACTATCACACAACGCCATCTAGTCCCAAGCTAAGCAGAGCTTGTGTTATGGGTACTAGACAACTGATAAACATACTTATATATTTCTAAATACATAAATATTATAGATAAATTACACCCAGACACAGAACAAATGATCGTGCTCATCACACAAACATTTGTCCTGGGTGGGAATCGAACCCACGACCTCCGGCATAACAGTCAGGGTCACTAACCACTAGACCAACAGGCCTGTCGTTCAAAATCATACACACGTAAAAAAATAACAGAAAGAAAAGTAAGTTTGTCAATAGATTAAACACTTACATCTATGGCCTTTGATGCGTTGAAGTAACGCAAATGTATTATTGATAGATACACTGCGGTCAAACGACCATACACTAACTCCATGACTGCAGTTGCTTGGTCTTATATAGTACCAGTAAGTAATAATTCTAATCTAAAGAATTTCTACAGTAGAATTGATAATAACTTTATGCGTCAACAACCTTATCTCACATTCGTCGTGTTGCGTCTTTTTCAGTGTATTGATGACTCAAATACGTTTTGTATAACAGAAAAAATGCAATTTAATATTTAGAAATCACATAATTGATCATTCCTATGTTAGTCATTGAGTAGATTGTACTGTAGTAATCTACTAATAGCAGTAATATCATGGATACACTAGATGTACAACAACATCTGAAAAAGATTCACCCCAGTCTAGAAAATAATGTTTATGCTGCTAACAGACTGCCCATGTACACCCACGTACCAACGTATACCTAGTAGAATACCTAGTCAGGTCATAAGTATTGTCACACAGTAAAAACTTTTCTTTTAGAATGCTGGCCACAAAAAAGTTTATTGAATTCGAATTGTTCATGAAAATAAAACTGTATACTTTTTAGAATTTTACTCATTTTTACATATGGAGTGGACGCTTAAAAAAGACCGTGTTGCAGTTGCGATTACGCGCCAATTAAATTTTTTGATATACTGAAAAATTTGAATATAACCAAAAGATTCGTTTATCGTACCATCAAACGATACAATGAAGACTCTAGTGTAGATGACAGGTCAAGAAGTGGTCGCCCTCGATTTGTTAGGACTCCAGCAGTGATAAAAGCTGTAAAGGTGCGAATTCAAAGAAATCCCAAACGTAAGCAGAAACTGTTGGCCCTTCAGATGGGGTTAAGCAGAACCACGGCGTTAAATGAAGACTTAGGGCTTCGGGCATATCGAAGAAAAACAGGACATCGTTTGAATGCTCGTCTAATGGATCTGAGACTGAAGAGATGCCGCGCTTTGGTGAAGCGGTACGCGGGAAAAAAATATCGGGAAATTCTTTTTTCGGATAAAAAAATTTTACCGTAGAAGAGAGCTACAACAAACAAAATGATAAGGTGTACGCACACAGTAGTGAAGAAGCGAGCAACCGTATTCCGCGTGTCCAACGAGGTCATTTTCCATCCTCGCTCATGGTATGGTTGGGAGTTTCTTATTGGGGCTTAACAGAGGTACATTTTTGTGAGAAAGGTTAAAAACGGATGCAGTTGTGTATCAAAATACAGTCCTGACGAACCTTGTGTAACCTGTTTCTCATACCATGTTCAATAACAGGCACTGGGTATTCCAACAAGATTCGGGGTCAGCTCATAGAGCGAAGAGCACACAAGACTTTTGACAGCTCCGTGGCGTAGTGGCTTAGCAATGAGTGGCTGCGCTTGGGGGTCGCGGGTTCGAATCCCGCACGGAACAAGTATTTGTACGACCTACAAGTAATTGTTCCGAGTTTGGATGTTTGTCCTTGTGAAATTTGTGTTTGTAAACTGCCCCCCACGATACAGGAGAAAAACCTAGTGTGGAGGTAACGTTCTTTAAAAACAAAAAAAAAAAAGACTGGCTGGCGGCGCGTGAAATCGACTTCATCCGACACAAAGACCAGTCCAGATTTGAATCCGTTAGATTACAAGATATGGTAACACTTGGAGGAAAAGGCGTGCTCAAAGCCTCATCCCAATTTCGAGTCACTCAAGACATCTTTAATTAAGGCAGCCGCCGATATGACATGGACCTCGTTCGTGGTGAGATAGACGACTGGCCGCGCAGATTGAAGGCCTGTATTCAAAATTACGGAGGTCATTTTGAATAAACTATAGTGTCATAAGAATCTATGTTTTGTTAAGTTCATTTTGGTATATAAATGGTTACATAATGAATAAACTTGTTTCAATTATTTTACATTAAACATGTGATAGAATTTATGACCTGACTAGGTAATATGCAATTTGGGTACAGATGATAAACCAGGGTCACATTAGGTAGCTTTATATATCGATACGAATGACGTCGGTGAATATTTTGATTCATATGGACGGGCACCTGTACGAAATTGTAAAAGATGGAACTGGAATGTTGATAGGACTTCAGTTTGTGGCGAATATTGCTTAATGTATTTGCTATATAAGTTTCAGGGATGTTCAATGCATAGTTTTACGAGTATATTTACAGAGAACACATTGTACAACGATATGTTAGTGGATGAGATGTTTCGCTCCTATTTTATAGATAATAAGTAATAAGATTTTGTATTTTATAAATAAAAATTTTAACAAAATTAGGTAATGTGTTTAAAAGATGGAACTGGAATGTTGATAGGACTTCAGTTTGTGGCGAATATTGCTTAATGTATTTGCTATATAGTTTCAGGGATGTTCAATGCATAGTTTTACGAGTATATTTACAGAGAACACATTGTACAACGATATGTTAGTGGATGAGATGTTTCGCTCCTATTTTATAGATAATAAGTAATAAGATTTTGTATTTCATAAATAAAAATTTTAACAAAATTAGGTAATGTGTTTAAAAGATGGAACTGGAATGTTGATAGGACTTCAGTTTGTGGCGAATATTGCTTAATGTATTTGCTATATAAGTTTCAGGGATGTTCAATGCATAGTTTTACGAGTATATTTACAGAGAACACATTGTACAACGATATGTTAGTGGATGAGATGTTTCGCTCCTATTTTGTAGATAATAAGTAATAAGATTTTGTATTTTATAAATAAAAATTTTAACAAAATTAGGTAATGTGTTTAAAAGATGGAACTGGAATGTTGATAGGACTTCAGTTTGTGGCGAATATTGCTTAATGTATTTGCTATATAAGTTTCAGGGATGTTCAATGCATAGTTTAACGAGTATATTTACAGAGAACACATTGTACAACGATATGTTAGTGGATGAGATGTTTCGCTCCTATTTTATAGATAATAAGTAATAAGATTTTGTATTTTATAAATAAAAATTTTAACAAAATTAGGTAATGTGTTTAAAAGATGGAACTGGAATGTTGATAGGACTTCAGTTTGTGGCGAATATTGCTTAATGTATTTGCTATATAAGTTTCAGGGATGTTCAATGCATAGTTTTACGAGTATATTTACAGAGAACACATTGTACAACGATATTTTAGTGGATGAGATGTTTCGCTCCTATTTTATAGATAATAAGTAATAAGATTTTGTATTTTATAAATAAAAATTTTAACAAAATTAGGTAATGTGTTTTATTGATGATTCAGATTAGTGTTGTAGATAGGAACAAAGGAGTATAATACAATAGCATAAGCCGACCCACACGCTGGACGAATAATAGATAATGACGGTAGTCAATCAACAATAGATAAGTAGATAAGGACAATGGAGCGCTAATGACGGTTGAGGCTCGTAGCGGATATCAATTAGATAAGAGTTAATTGATCTGCACATCTCCGGAACCGTGCATCCTACGCAAAAATGGACCGCAGATGCCAAAACTTTTTTTTTTTTTTTTTTTTTTTTTAGGATTGTGAGTCGACGAACGTCGTGCGCCAGAACTGGTACAACCTTTCTACAAGTGCGCCAGAACTGGTACAACGTAACTACTAGCGCTAATCTGTTCTACCAACTTAGTTTGAGTTTACTATAAGAGACAATAAATATATAGGACAATAATTTTCACTGTGTTCTCGTGCAAACCATCGCGATGATGAGGATTGGTTTTCGAATTTTGTTGTAGTGTACGATGGTGGAATTTAGTGACTACATAAGAGAATCTGTCAAAGTTTGTACACAATCTGTCATTAAACAAGTTTAAATGTTTTATGAAAGAAAAATTGTACAAAAAGGGTTATTGTAATATCAAAGAATACATAAATGAAAACAACCCCTGGGAATGAGGTGATTGCCATCATGCTGGTTCAATAAAAAATTATTCAAAAACTATACAAAATAAATTTCTGTAAAGTGAAATATGTTTAAAAAAGGTCCCGCTGAATTTCTAGCTGGTTCTTCTCAGGACAGAGGTTTTTTTTAGGAACCAGTGGTAAATATAAAATGTCTTGCAATAAGTATTATGCAATAATCTACATTGAATAAAAAAAACATTCATTCATCCAATAAACTACCGCATATCTAATCTTGTCTGTCGTAAGAGAGGACAGGGGAAAATTAAAAAGAGATGGGCAGTCACATTTTCCTGATAAGAACGCACTTGTAATAAAAAACAACGGTCCCCAACTGCCTGCCAAGCGTGGAAACTTTGACAAACATCCCCCCATATAAGGGAATCTATTGGGAAGGCCTATGTCCAACAGAGGACACGGACTGTAACTAATAAATTAATGATGAATGATATAATATATCGTTCCACAGCGATCCCATATAAATTTGAACCAGTCATCGTTCGATGATAACTGAAATCGGTTTTTATATATTTTTTTTTTTTTTTTTTTTTGGATAAGTATAGCTATTCAGCGGGGAAACGCAGCCAGCGTTCTTAGCACGATACCACGAGCAGGACTTTATAACAATTAAAATTTTTAGTTTTAGTTGTTCTTTATTATAGTTTTTTAATATTATGTGTAAATTAAAAATAATATGTTATAAAAAGATTCAAAGTAATAAGAATATCTATTAATAACGTTTTCTACTTTTTTACAGTATCAAACGTATCCATACTGAGGACGGGAAAGTATTACAAAGGAATTTTCTGTCCGTCTATAACGAATAGCTTTAAGGTAATAATGACTTTAATATATGTTCTGATTCTTTTTACAATTCTGTACAACAATATTTGCATACTCAGTGACGGCTAGGGAGAGGCCAGCTCTCAAGTTTCAAGGGGATGCCATGAGTCCTCGCGGTGCCTTGACCCACGAATTGATCTTATATCATAGCTAAACCTGGTTATACATTCAAGGGTATTCCACTATTTACCATCAGTTGGAGTTGTAGTCAAGCAAAGTCTATTTAAAAGTTAAACCCGAACCTACCATCTTATTGTTAAGTAAATAAATGTACGCGACACCTAATAGTACTACTTGTTTGGACAACATATATATTTTTAATGTTAGTTACATTTCCCCTGTATCGTGGTGGCAGTTCACACACATAAACTTCACAAGGACAAACATCTACCCGGAACATATATTTGTTGGCCATACAAATACTTGTTCCGAGCAGAATTCGAACTCGCTGCCCTCAGCGTCGCAACTCATTGCTAAGCCACTGCGTCATGGATCCGTTTATTTACAGTGACTGATGACTATAGACCGCCTGATTCAGAAACACGATTTTCTGAAACATCTACGTGATATACTACGCTTTAAACTTTTATCTGAAACATTTCTTACCGGAGAATAAGAGGCTTATATAATGATTTTACTTTTATCTGATTTTAACCACGGAATTTAAAAAAAAATTACAAAAGTTTTCCTCAGATACGTTAAGTTGAAGTTGTGTGAGTGTTATATGTTTTTTCGCTCATACTTTTTTTATAGAATAAGTCTGACAAGCGGTCGCAAAGTTCACCTGATGGTAAGTGGACATAGACATTTATATCTATCCTCGACTAAGAAACAAAATTCTGATACGCTGTCACCCTTAAGAACTAAGATAGAACTCCTTATTACCAGTAAATAGTGCCTCCAGTTTTCTACACTCACTACCTAAACTTAGAATTTCACACTGTTATTTTGTGAGAGCGTGGAATTACTTTGATTGAGCCGACCCATTCGGAGGCATAATATAACTGCAGCTGAGCTCTATCATATAATAATGTAAAATACTTTACCATCATCACCTTCGTTAACTTCTCTCTCAGACGTGAGACTAGCTGTCTTTGTCAGTTACCATAGGTAATTTAGTTACGACAATCATTAAGTTTACACAGAGTATAAAAGACTAAAGCTGTTTTTCAGGATAAAACAATAGAACTATCATATCAGCGGTACTCGCGGAGACAACGCCAGAAGTCACTCATAATGGTCAACGTGGTCGATTTAGCACTTAAGGTAGGTACGTAGATTGTTATGTTCATTTAGATTAGAAATAAAGTCTATCAAACTGAGATTGCGCAGAGCTTGGCATACTTTTGCATTGTTAATTTATTTATCTATAAATATTTATTTTTATTGTCACAGTTGTGTGCAGTGTGTGAAATTTGAATTCAGTCTTTGGTAGATTTCTATGGCCTCGTCCTTCAATCAGTACATTGTGTACCCTGCTGATTGAGGTTCGACTTTGAGTTGGCATTTAGAAAAAATATGGTATTTCGTCCGTCTTCCTCCGGCGTTCCGTCTTAAGCCCCCTCGATCTTTGACTTGATTGATAAGATAAAAAAGATGTAAGGGAATCCATGGTGGATGTCATAAGAGGCGACTATGGGAAAAAACTTATGGCTTTCGACGGAGACACAACTATCTCGCTTATGCCACATATAAAATATTCATATTTGTGACGATCAGCAGCGACAAAGTTGCATGATGTGTGTGATGTGAATCTACCTGCCAAGCATGACGATGAAAGCAAATTTTGCTTATGACAGGTGACCTCTATTTTGAAAATATAAATGAATTTTAGAGGCTGATAAAAAAGATGATGATAAAGATGTTTTTTTTTTATAGGACAGGGTGACAAACAAACACACAGTCCACCTGATGGTAAGTGGTTGCTGCGGCCCATAGACATTGTGGCGGCGTTAATTTCTGAACGCACCACTTCAACTAAACACTGTAATGTAGATCTGGCAACATTGTGAGAGACAATTATTATGACGCAATATCTACAGACATATACGAGGTCTCTCAGTGTTTTCCACTCAATTCCTTGTTTTAATTTAATATTCCTTTAAGATTGTAACGTGTGAGATGTTTAGTATAACTGAGTGATAATAAACGATTATTATTTTACGCATAGACCTTTATTGGAGTGAAGATTAAAAGTACTAAGTAGTACCTATACTACTACAACTCCACATCTATCCTCGATTACAAATCAAAATGCAGATGCGTTGTCACCCGTGATGACTAATGTCGCCTCTACACGTTGGCCAATACAGTGGCGAATGTAGTGGCGAATATATTGGCCGAGAGTTGGTGACGGCGTCCACACGTTGGAAGGTCGTTCAGTTTACTTCGGTTCGGGCCAATGTGCGGACGAACGACGGCTCCGTGGCGCAGTGGCTTAGCAATGAGTAGCTGTGCCGGGGGCCGCGGGTTTGAATCCCGCACGGAACATGTATTTGTATATCCTACAAATAATTGTTTGGGGTCTGGATGTGTGTCCTTGTGCAATTTATGTTTGCAAGCTGCCTCCGCGATACAGGAGAAAATCCAAGTGTGGGGGTTACGTTTTTATAAAATAATTATAAACGAATACTGAATATTAATGGGGCTGTAAATAGAAATACGATATACGATTAGCTTTATTTATTCTATGTTTTAAAATTGGGTTTTGATTTTAAAGTTTAGCAAAATATGTACTTGCATTTCTATCAGACATTTGATGTATATAAAAACACCTTATAATTTATTTGGTAATTTAATTATTTTTTGAGAAAGACAAAAACAATAGCAATAAATATAATTAACACTGACTTAATAATAGGTACTAATTATAACTTAGAACATAAATGAAAAACTCATGACAAGGAAAGTGGCTCAGGACCATGCTTTGCGGCAGTCTGTGGAGGAGGATGTTCAGTAGTGGACTTGTGAAGAGCTGTAATGATGATGATGATTCGAAAACTTGCACGATTAAATTATAAGAAGTCGACGTTTTTTTTTATAGGATAGGGTGACAAACGAGCACACAGTTCACCTGATGGTAAGTGGTTGCTGTGGCCCACAGACATCTACATCTATCCTCGATTACGAATCAAAATGCATATGCGTTCTCACCCGTGAGGACTAAGATGAAATGCCTCGTTTCCTTTAAAAAGTGTCTCTGGTTCTCTACACTCACTATACGAAACACAGCATCCTTAAGCTACTATATTACGCTAATATTCTGTGAGAGCGTGGTCCTTCCCCGGTTGAGCCGAGCCATTCGTGCTACAACTATACTTTTAATATAACTGCATGGTTCTACCACGTATAAACGACGTGCTTCATTTTTTTTTTCATTTTAAAATTGTTCTCGTAATAATCTGATTGTAAATAAATGTTCGTTATTTTTTTTGATAAATAGTTAATCGATTAAAACAAATGTTTAAAAATAATTAAATCGCGCTAATTAAAGTAGTAGGAATGTTTAAAGTTGAAATTGGCACTAAAAGGCTGGTAATTGGGGCATCCATCCTACAAAGCTTGAATATAAAATTTAAATCAGATGCGTGTAATCACTCTGGGAGCTTGTAGCAAACTAAACGCGCGGCCAACGTGTGGACGCGGCGACCAAACTCTGCCAACAATCCTTTGATCTTTTGTAAAAAACCGACACCACACGGATCTCGCGCCAACTTGCGGGCCATCGTTCCAATACATACCAATGAAGCCCAAACACCCCGTCTACACGTTAGCCAATGCTATTGGCCACTACATTCGCCACTGTGTTGGCCAACGTGTAGAGGCGCCGTAAGATGGGATGCCTCGTTTCCAGTAAAAAGGGTATCCAGGTTCTCTACACTCACCATACGAAACACAGCAGCATTAAGCTGCTATTTCACGGTGGTATTCTGTGAGAGCGTGGTCCTTCCCCGGTCGAGCCGACCCATTCTTGCTACAACTATACTACTAATATAACTGTAGCATGGCTCTACCACGTATAAACTTTGTAATTGTTTCAGTAAAATTGACAGCTAAATAATTGTTAACATGTATAGGCTGGTTGGATTAGAGAGGAGCGTCGGCCTAGAACGTTCGTATGTGAACTATCCGCATGTATAACGGCGCCTCTACAGGTTGGCCAACACAGTGGCGATTGTAGTGGCCACTAGCATTGGCCAACGTGTAGACGGGGTGTTTGGGCTTCATTGGTATGTATTGGAACGATGGCCCGCAAGTTGGCGCGAGATCCGTGTGGTGTCAGTTTTTTACAAAAGATCAAAGGATTGTTGGCAGTGTTTGGCCGCCGCGTCCACACGTTGGCCGCGAATTTAGTTTGCTACAAGCTCCCAGAGTGATTACACGCATCTGATTAAAATTTTATATTCACGCTTTGTAGGGTGGATGACCCAATTACCAGCCTTTTAGTGCCAATTTCAACTTTAAACATTCCTACTACTTTTTTTTTGTAAATTTAATTAACGCGATTTAATTATTTTTAAACATTTGTTTTAATCGATAAGCTATTTATAAAAAAAATTAACATTTATTTACAATCAGATTATTACGAGAACAATTTTAAAATGAAAAAAAATGAAGCACGTCGTTTATACGTGGTAGAACCATGCAGTTATATTAGAAGTATAGTTGTAGCACGAATGGGTCGGTTCGACCGGGGAAGGACCACGCTCTCACAGAATATCAATGTAAAATAGTAGCTTAATGATGCTGTGTTTCTTATAGTGAGTGTAGAGAACTAGAGACACTTTTTAAAGGTAACGAGGCATTTCATCTTAGTCCTCACGGGTGACAACGCATCTGCATTTTGATTCGTAATCGAGGATAGATGTAGATGTCTATGGGCCACAGCAACTACTTACCATCAGGTGAACTGTGTGCTCGTTTGTCACCCTATCCTATATAAAAAGCGTCGATTTCTTATAATTTAATCGTGCAAGTTTTCGAATCATCATCATCATTACAGCTCTTCACAAGTCCACTACTGAACATCCTCCTCCACAGACTGCCGCAAAGCATGGTCCTGAGCCACTTTGCTCGTCATGAGTTTTTCATTTATGTTCTAAGTTATAATTAGTACCTATTATTAAGTCAGTGTTAATTATATTTATTGCTATTGTTTTTGTCTTTCTCAAAAAATAATTAAATTACCAAATAAATTATAAGGTGTTTTTATATACTTACATCAAATGTTTGATAGAAATGCAAGTACATATTTTGCTAAACTTTAAAATCAAAACCTAATTTTAAAACATAGACTAATCGATTATAACTCCTTTAACTTTAAAACAAGTTAAGTTTTTATTAATGGTATTTAATTCAGTTTATGATGCATGTAAAGAATAAATAAAGCTAATCGTATATCGTATATCTATTTACAGCCCCATTAATAACCACTATTATTTTATAATTCTTTTATAAAAAACGTTAACCCCACACTACGATTTTCTCCCCTATCGCGCAGGCAGTTTACAAACATAAATTGCACAAGGACACACATCCAGACCCGAAACAATTATTTGTAGGACATATAAATACTTGTTCCGTGCGGGATCAAACCCGCGGCGCCCGGCGCAGCCACTCATTGCTGAACCACTGCGCCACGGTGCTTATAAATTCGTCCGCACATTGGCCCGAACCGAAGTAAACTGAACGACCTTCCAACGTGTGGACGCCGTCACCAACTCTCGGCCAATATATTCGCCACTCCATTCGCCACTGTGTTGGCCAACGTGTAGAGGCGACATAAAGTCCGCTTCGAAACTATTTTGAAAAGTAATATCGACAAACCTAGCAGCGAGACTCTTGAGTACCTACGAAACGTGCATCGCTGTTTAAACAATCTTTGTCGCACTTACGATCCGCTCCAGAACTCCGGGCATACGATCCGCGCTCCTCTATTGTTCCAGGCGTATTATTTCCAGTTACTTAATTTACTTTTTGATTTTTATTCATATTAAAAGTGCGATTGTCTTTTTCAGATATGTCTAGCAAATATATATACGCTTACAAATAGAAAGGACAGTAAGTAACAAAGGTTTTTTTTACATTATTATCTACAATTATTAACGAGCAGAATTGGATTAAGATCGGATTAATTAATGCAGAAGACCCTAAACACCGCAAAAATCGGGGTAGGCAATTAGCTATTTTACCTTTAGGCTGATCCGGCCCTGATCACAAGTCGACTGCTGACACAGAAATATTATTATGATTTCTGTGACTGCTGAACAAAGCCTCTCTTTAACTGTCACAAACGCGGTTCTGGGCGACATCGAAATCATCAATCTCGTGGTAAATCAACGCTTCAAATTTCTCTAAACCATTTCATTAATATTTCGGTAAAGATCTGACTCAGATAGATCTTTTATTTTAAAATAATAAAATTAAGTTTATTAAATTTATATAAATATATATAAAATACATTTTTGTCAAACTTGCACAAAAAACAACAAATGAAGTTTACATAAAAAAATATTCCCGAATTTCAGTCACGTATCGTATAAACAGAAAATAAAATAAATCACTGTCAATATGTTCATCTATCGTGGCTATACTGTACAAAAGAGAGATACAATTGTATAATATTACGGGGCCACGGTTTTAAATTCTGTACGATATAAGCATTTGTATGGCGAACGAATATCCTCCAAACATTAAAGCCTATAATAGTCCACTGCTGAACGTAGGCACCTTCCAAGATTGCCTCACAGGTGGTATTTTGCCAGTTTTTTATATATTTGTGTTGTTCAGGAGGATACTGGTGATAACCTCTAGTTTTTAGTTTCCTTTTAGCCTTAAGACCTTATAGTTTGCGATATATCGCGTCAATATATATATATATATATATATATATATATATATATATATATATATATATATATATATATATATATATATATATATATATATATATGCGATGTTCCTGTACTCTGTCATGCTAATGATTATGATAATGATGAAAACTCCACCTCTGGATATGGGATTCTATCGTTAGACCTTCCATATTATGTATATATATATATATATATATATATATTATTTTGTATCTTTATACATATACGTGTATATATATATATATTAATATATTCTTGTAAATTTATTTGAATATATGTATATTTGTATATCTTTATTGGTTTATACACATCTAACATTACAGTATGTATTTAAGTATTATACATTTTTATTACCTTTGGTTTTTTTATATTTCATTTTATTAGTTTATATATTTTTGTGGTGTGTCATTGATATCTTATGAAGTTTATTTCCATGTATTACTATATTTTCATTTATTTTAGTTTATTGTTGTCATATTAACTTCTTACTACACCTACTTCATACTATCTCTGCATTACTCCACTGGTAGATAATGCCTTAGGCATTAAGTCCGCCTATATACCAAGTGTGTATATGAAGTTTTAAGTAAATAAATAAAAGTATCTTATAAATATTATGTACTTCTAATGATTACAGTATTAAGGATTTTATGTTACAATATAAAATAGGTAATGATTTATGTTCAGCTATTGCTTGCGAATTGACTTATGTGGTTCCGACAGAATATCAACGCTGCGGTAACTCTGTTACTTTAACGTTAAGTCAAGTAGTAAGCTTTGTTTTTTGTTTTTTTGCAAAAGTAAGTCGCATCAATGAATAAACATGTTTTTTCTTTTATCCACCCTTCCACTGTTCCACAAGTCTACTGTTGAACAAAGGCCTCGCCTATAGATTGATTCGTATTGGTGTTGACAATAGCAGTACTGTTTTGGATGTTATTTAGAAGATGCTGCTGCCCATCTGCTGTTTTATTTTCCCTGTGTCACCCATGGAATGTTATTGTTATTGGGGTATTGGATATTCACACCGCCACTTCATAGACAAATTATGATGAACTTTTCCACACTGATAATAAAGACAGTATGCGTTAGAACGTTTGATTTGAACATGTTATTTATCTTAATTCCAGTTTCCTCGGTTGTGGATAGCTACCAGATAGCATGGACGGTTGCGTTCGGATTCCTCAATGTGTTCGTGTGTTTGCTGGGCTCCTGGAGGTGCTTCGCCAACAACTACCTGCACTGGGCGGCCGCTGCGACGTGGATATTGCTGATTGCTCAAGGTCGGCATATAACGGGTTTCTTCCGAGTTAGCACATCTCTAATACATTCTTTTTAATATTACATTACCAGAACTAATGAACTGAACACGAATATCAGAACAACTCTGTTTACATTTCACGATTCCGTTTAGGTTTTGAAAAAATCTTTAGGCTATTTATAGTAATAAATTGTTTTTTTTTTTGTGTAACACCATTGAGGGTCGTTGAAATTTCTGGTTAGCCAAAAAACGATTATCTCCTTTGCCGCGATTTACATAGCACATATGAATAAATATTTTAGTCTAGTCCGTACCGTGTTTTTAAAAAAAAATTCGGCTGTGGCAGAATACCAGCGGTGATCTAAAATCACCACATAGCTCAGGCACTGGCTAGTTTGTATCATTACTTTTACGTTACTTATGTATATTTCTAGGTTAAGTTCGTGATGATTTTTTTTTGTACATTTTTAATAACACGTGTGAACTGAGACGAAATAAAGGCTTTATTATTATTATTATTGTGATTTTTGTTTAGTATTCTCTCGTTCCCGAGGTATTATGTCTTTTCCGAGGGCTTTTAGCTGTAACTTAGAGACTATTCTGCAAGTATTCAATATTTTGACTTTCTGCAGTAATATAAATGTAAGTTTATAGATATATAGCTCATTTAAGGTGAAGTGGGCGCCAAAAGCAGATTTTTCACGCTTTATAGGTGCGACTTGCGGGACTATTTGGTCGGCCCGCGCGCTATTTAATCGCACAATATGTATTTGATATTTCTTTTTAAAATTATATATACTCTTTTATTGAAAAATAAACCCATAATTCACTCATGCGTTGTCACCCCTGAGGACTAAGATGGAATGTCTCATTTCCAGTAAAAACATAGCAGTATTAAGCTGCTACTTTGTGCTGGTATTCTGTGAGAGCGTGGTCCTTCCCCGGTCGAGTCGACCCATTCGTGCTATAACTATTGACTTATTTATATATTACTAGCGTAAGGACCGGGCCGACCGAACAACTAAAACGGACCAGTGCGCTGGCCCTAAAACAATTTAGGGCCAACGTGAATCGGTCGACAGTGGTGCGCGCGCAAGAAAGATTTGCCTGTCATAAATATGTCTAGTTGCTTGGTAAAAGGATGCAAAAATTACGATACAAAGATTAAAAAGGAACATGGGATATCGTATCATCGGTTAATAACTTTATATTAATTTTGTTACAATTAAATTATTATACAAACGCATTTTTAAAGTTTTATGTTACAGTTAGTTTTAAGAGGATTTAGGCCCTCAAAAATATTCTACGTGCAAAATAAAATTATACTATTTTAAAAAAAATTATATTATCACGTTTGACATCTCATGTTTCTTTTTTCCCATGTGCCGGGATTTTGGCGTCACGCGTCTAGTTTATCTCTACGTTTCGTTTTTTGATGGTTTTATTTTTATTTCTATTTTATTTTTGTCTAAAGAACTTATTGTAAGTTAAATTTTGAATATTTGTGGTGGTACTAATATATTTTATATTCAATAAGGGTAAAACGAAAAGAGTACAAAAGAAACCATATCTGCTTAATTGAATCTGAGAATCTGATTCATAAAATAGAGCATAGAGTTTCTATCGTGGTAGCCCCTCATTTTAGTTGTATCAAGAAAACATAAATGCGTCGATCGAGTACCGATTGACCATAAAGGGAGTTAATTCTAATTTTATTAAAAAAACGCGGTACTCAAATACAGAAATCCTCGATATCGTAGGGTTATATTAAAAAGTAAAAGGACCCAATAATAATACAATTCGACCTTTAGGTAAAATTATGGTATTTTTGTTTAGTATTATTACGATATTATATATATAATTGTACAATTATTTCATAGGTTGTACCTATGAAATAATGGTACAATTGGGATAATTATACTACGAAATCCGACCCTGGTTACGTCGCGTTATGATATGACGTTTGTAAGTATTATGACAGATGCGCTAGTTTTTCTTGTACGAAAAAGTTATGAATATCTATCCTTCCTTTTGAAATCATTGGCTACAACCATAATATAGCTGCAGCTTGGCTCTACCATATATATATATATATATATATATATATATATATATATATATATATATATATATATATATATAAACTATCACGTATACGTAGCACGGATAATTTTCAATTTCTGTTGCAGTTTTTGTCTCTAATAATGTTGCGCGCCATAATTAATGCTCGGTGTATGGCGGGTGATTATTAGCGAAATCTAGTATTAAGTAGCAGAAATAGGAGCGTCAAGATCTTTCTAAATCTTCCCATTAGCGCCATCTAGTGTCGAGTGGCGAGGGATTTCTGGAGGATTCTTTGCTAGAACTTTTGACATTCTACTCGAACATTCAAGATCTTTCCGGTGGAAAAGGCCCTATAAAGTCGGTCAGGAGCGTGACCGGAGCAGTATTGAAGTGGCGATTGGTGATTAATTATTAGTGTGTTTTAAGTTTTAATTGGTGTGCTGTAATTTTGGTAATTCATCGGCAGTTTTTATTATCACAAACCCTAATCTTGTAAAAATGACTTTTTTGACTTGTTTCATTGCATAGTATGAATTTCATTCATTTCATTGCCCTCAGGTCTCAGTGGCCAAGGCATCGGTTTTCAAGCCCCCGAAAATCAAGTGTGGTACATGCTGTTTATAATCTTCGTGCCGTACGCCATGTTGCCGCTTTCCCTCGGCTGGTGCATTGTGATTGGACTACTGTCGTCTCTGTCACACGTGCTGGCCACCGCAGTTATTATTAGGGACATCATGGATAATAATACTGAAGCTGTAAGTGTCATTCAATATGAGTTGCCGTGTGTTAGCGGCGTAAGGGAATCCATAACTTCATTTTTTTTATAGTATTGGGTGACAAACGAGCACACAGTCCACCTGATGTTTGGTGAATGCTGTGGTCCATAGACATCTTTCATCCTCGACTAAGGACTAAGATGGAATGCCTCGTTTCCAGTATAAAAGGGTCTCCGGATATCTACACTCACCATACGATACACAGCAACGTTAAGCTGCTATTTTACGCTGGTATTCTGTGAGAGCGTGGTCCTTCCCCGGTCGAGTCGACCCATTCATGCTACAACCATAATATAGCTGCAGTGTGGCTCTAACACGTATTAAAAGATAAGTGACAAAAAGTGGGACCATGACAGTGTACTGTGAGTTATTACAATATATTATATTGTATGTATTATATATATATATATATATATATATATAATGATATGATATGTATATAATACATACATACATATTGTATGTTACTATCAGAGTATTTTTTGTCAAAAATTTTTTCTTTGTATTTTTTAGCTGACTGTATATGACGCAGCGCCTCTGTGGGTAGTCGGAATTATTGTAAACAACACGTCCACCGCACACCTGCGCATTGCACCTGTAGTGGCGCTTGTGTAGCTACTTGTCTCGATTGTATAAAAAGGATGGAGCGGCCGCCGTTAAAGCAGTCTTGACACTGGCGTAGCACGGTTCACTTATTGTATCCCGCTACTAGCTCATCCTAGACTTGGATTGGGAAGTTTTTTATTATCAGCTATTAAATTAGTCTCGGTACAATTTGTAGTTGATTACCTGTGATCCGTGTATTTTGTGATTGTAAATTAATTCTACTTAACTACCTTCCTTCATATATATTTTTTACCGTTTAATATTTGTATTTATGTTATTTTATCAATGTGTTTTCTTTTTCTTTTTAGATTGAATATCTACATTTATTTTAATATTATTAGTATATAATAGAATCCTCCAACGATACTAATTAAGATTTATTTGCGCTGTTTCAGGCACAATCTTGCGCATTGCGGCTGTTAATAGCCAATGCTCTGCTATACAATGCGGTCAACTTTGCTGGAATGTACGCCAAGTACCTTACGGACTGGGGGCAGCGCAAAGCGTTCCTCGAGACTCACCGCTCTATGGTCACGAGGCAACGTACCAAGAGTGAAAGCGATCGCCAATGGAAACTGTTTCAGAGTGGTAAGGTTTGACAGTGCATACGTTAAAGTGAACTGTGATTTAAAGATTCATATACCGTTTACACAACCGTGTAGTGGCTGTGTAAGAATATCCAATACCCTGTATCGTTTCGTGTGTGTCGTAAGAGGCGACAGGGAGAAATTAAAACAGGAGAAGGGCAGCAGCATCTGCCTGATAACTCAAAGTAATAAAAGACTGCGGTTGTCCACCCACCTGGCAAGCGTGGCAACTAAGACAATATCCTCCCTTTGAGACAATATATTAGAGAGGCCTCTTTTTATAGAATAAGGTTGACAAACTAGTACACAGTCCACCTGATCGTAAGTGGAAGCTGTGACCCATAGACATCTACATTTATCACCGATTAAGTATCAAAATGCGAATGCGTCGTTACCCCTGAGGACTAAGATGGAATACCTCGTTTCCAGTAAAAAGGGTCTCCGGATGTCGACACTCACTATGGTTAGTTTTTCGTATGCGAAACACAACAGCCTTTAGCTGCTATTTCACGCTGGTATTCTGTGAGTGCCCTTCTCGGTTCGAGCCGACTCATTCGTGCTACAACTAACATAGCTGCAGTGTGGCTCTACCACATAAAAAAATATACCGAATCTCCAATTATGATGCAATGTATGGGGGAAGCCTATGTTCAGCAATGGACTTCTCAAGGCTGTAATGATGGACTTCTTTTTTTTTTGGTTTTTTGTTGGGGTGTGTTTTTGTTTGTGTTTTTGGGGGTGGTCGGCTGTTCTATGGCTGTAATAGGCTGTAATGTTGGACTTCTATAGGCTGTAATAAATAGATGAATACCGGATTTATCTTTATGTCTTTGTCCACTGTTGAACATGGGTCTTTTTAGTTTAGGGGTGGATTTGCTTTGACCATTACGCTTCACATGCGATTTTCCACGAGGAAGTTAATGGGTTAGCTCGACAGGGGAAGGACCACGCACAGAAAATTAGCGTGAACTAACAGCTTGATGCTGCTGTGTTCCGTTTGGAGAGTGTAGAGAACCGAAAACCCTTTTTCCTGTAAACGGAGCATTACATCTTAGTCCTCAAAGAGATAACGCATCTGCGTTTTGATTCTTATTCAAAGATGGATGTATGTGTTTATTTTTTAATCTTTTTCACTCTTTATTCATAATATGCACTGTCATATATTAGACGAAATCCCACTACTTTTACGTAATATCATTATTTAAAATCCTCCGGCAGTCAAGTTCCCGCCAAAACTTTTTTTTTAATATTTTACAGTGATACCAGACTTTTTAGCCAAAGAAATCTATAGCCACGTGTCGAAGGTAAAAGGAGAATTCCAAGAGCAGCAGTTCAACAATTTATACATACAGAGGCATGAAGATGTATCCATACTGTATGCGGACATAAAAGGTTTTACAGGTACACTTCACTATAATATCTTAGTTTTCTAAATTGTTAAAAAATGATTTAAACATATTTATGTCAAAGATCATATCTCTCAGAATTTTTTTTTAAAAACTGGGTCTTCCCCCCGTTCTCCAAAGTACAAAGGATTTCATCGAGTTTCATTTTAAATCCCGATGTTTGGAGTTGGAGTTATTCCTCATTTACACTCAGCATTGTTGGGCAGGGAAGTGAGCAGCGCGTGTATGTAAAAAGGCTACTCGCGCTGTCACTGCCCATGTCGCTGCCACTTCCCAGCGCCTCCTCCACTGTCAGTTTTTCGCGCGGAAGTCAAAGGAGTGGCACTAATTACAATATTTTTTCTTTCTTCTAGAACAATCTATTAGAAACAATAAAATTTTAAGATTATATGGTAAATACACATTATTATTACGATAGTAAACCGAAATCACGTTCATTTTTTGCTCCATATCGTGACTTACAATACCTTAATGCACAACCGGGCATAATTTTTTTTTAAAAATTTTATAAATTTACGAAACGAATGCGTCTCGACCTTCTGACGATGTCATTAAGACTAAATGACAAAAACCGGAGATATATCCTATAGGACAAAAGTTACAGACGCCAATTTTGTTGCTGATGTCCGGTCTATTACTACTACATACTTAAATGTCTTTGTATACCAACAAACTCGACGTCGGTAATTGTTGCGAGTTGATCAATAAACAAGTATGAAGGCCGAGTATAAACACCCACTCGCGTCGTTATTGCCGCAGAAGTATTTAGGGAAATATTTCCGGCAGCGACAGGAGCAGTAGCAGAGTGGCCCTAGTGAGTGTAAATGGGGCATTATAGGTATAATTCCTAGTTCAGCAATCAGAGGCTTCATATGTTCACTGTATAATTATCAAAAAAAAATAAAATTATGTATTATTCACGCCACGCATGCGTGGGAGACTGTAGTGCATGATTTCTTGATGTCATTTCATCAGATTTAGTAGGCCGTAATTTTATTTTTCGAATATAAAAGATCCGCTTAAAGCTTAAAATAAACAAAACAAAGAGGCGAAACTCAATACGAACTTGATAAGGTATTTATAGCAGAAATCAACTAATTGAACGGGTTAGTGCTCCCTTTTTGTCTCTTTACTATCGAGTAGTAGTTCGCCAACTGCTGTTCCTGTTTAAATGGTGATAGGGCTAATATAATTAGTGATGCGTTTCATAGGGACGGCATTACACCTGTAGCATTCTATGTTTGAAATAGGTAGCAGTGGTCCGCGAGCAGCAGTAACCACTTGCATTTTCGCCACCTTAGTATTCTCAAAATAACATAACATGTTTAAAAATTTACTCCAAACATTTTTTACAGAACTGTCCAGTAAATGCAGTGCTCAAGAGTTAGTCAAGCTACTGAACGAACTGTTTGCGCGATTTGACAGGTTGGCATCGGTGAGTTAGTATAAATAATTTTTCTGTATTGGAATTGCAAAATTGAATTGAAAGAATAATATAATTTTGTAGAACTTTCGTAAGAATAAATTATGAACTTTAATTTTCATTACCTTACACTCACCCATTCCTTACACTAATTCTTCTCCTCTTTCTTCATCATTGAAAACGATAATGCGTAGACACCTTCGTCCAGTATTCCGTCGATTAACAATAAATATTGTTCAGTTTTTGTTACCCGCGACCAGAAACAGTAGCATGATGCTGCTATACGTACGTCTCATCACCTTCATGACCATCTTTACAACTCATCACGAGTCTACTGCTGTAAAAAGAGTTTCCTACAAATACTTCCACTCAACTCGTTCATATGTCACCAGCGTACATCGACTCCCTGCTGGTTGCAGCAACATCTCATAGCGGTCACCCTCATGCGGCTTACCGATAAGAAGCTGCCAAACACCACATGAGATTATCCACCTTACACATCAGATAGCCGACCCATCACTACTTCAGTTAACCGAGCCGTTGAACTACGTTGATCAATTTGGATCTTACTTTGGATATCTTTGTTAAAGATTCTGTCACGCAAGGAACCATAGAGTGTAAGCTTCCTCATACGGTCAGCAGTCTCATAAAAAATAAAATGATGATATGATGATAATGATGATATCCCCATCACGAGGGATCTGAAATAGTGTGATCCATTCAGGAGAATCACTGCCTGCGCATCAAGCTGCTGGGCGACTGCTACTTCTGCGTGAGCGGGCTGCCCGAGCGGCGGGACAACCACGCCTTCTGCTGCGTCAACATGGGCCTGCACATGATCCGCGCGATACGCGACGTGCGGTACAACGCACAGGTACGTGCATAACCACCAGCTTTGATTTTTTGATATAAGTAATTGAAGACCCGTGGAAGCACAAATGGCTTGCTGTACATCTCACAGTACACGAGCAAACCGGGTTCGATCCCCGCCGGCACCAATGAAATTGTTAATTGCAATTTTAAATGCTGATTTACCACGTGCTCGGCGGCTCGGCGGGAAAACATCGTGAGGAAACTTGCATATCAGAGAAATAAGAAAAAAAATATTTCGAACACATGTGAAGTTCGCCAACACGCATTGGGGCAGTGCGGCGGACAATTCCTTGCCTGTATATATAGGCTGTAACTTTGTCATTGAAGAGACGAAATCCTAGTTTTTACCATAAGACTGTGTGTTTCTTAGTATAATATAATCAAAATGGTCAAAAAACGGAAAAGTAAAGACCGACTTCAAAGAACCAAAAAGTAGTAAAATAATTTCCAAATAATAAGCTTTTTAAACCAGGGCCTTAACTAACTAGAAGAATTTCTACGACTTAGCTAGTACTATTACCCTTATTTTTATCCGGAAGATGATTTCGCCCACCCCCTTTTTTTTTTTTTTGTGTGCGTGGTCCCCCGTTTTTTTTTGGCGCTTGCCGGGGGGTGTGGATATCTTTTTTTTTTTTTTTTTTTTTTTTTTTCTTGGTGTGTGGCTTTCCCCAACTTTTCCCAAAAACGTTTCTTCCCCCTCCGCATTTCTTGTCTGTGTTCAGCGTGACTTTAATGGGCGTAGTTATTTTCTTTTACGTTCATCGCGTTTATACAGATGTAACTATTGTTTCGGTGTTTCAATACCCACGGTCACGGGGGACTGAAGTCTCAGTCAGTGTTAATCCAGATACCTTCAACTTTTTAATTATTATTTAGCGTCCGATCTACGCAGAATGCACATACCTACTGTGTCTAAAAGTCGTTAAGTGGTATGCTTGGGTTTAGTTTTAATTTTATTGATTACAGGGTCCCAAGCAGGTGGTAGTACCTAGCCTCCTGATTATTGAAATTATGATGGTTTTTTTTTAATTTCAACAGTCGCACATATCGTCATTGATAGGAATCGATGTTCTTTCACGAGGATTTGTGGTCTATCCGCCTAGGATATGATCACAAACTACAGAATATCTATATAATATATTATTTACGTATCACTAACCATTACGCCAGCGTACGCAGATATAGCAGTTCGGGAGCGCTTTTTAAGTTTTAAGCCTTATGAATCTGGTTATCATATACAAAAATATTTTTTTAATCGGACTGGTAGTTCTTAATGTATTTAAACAAACGAACAAAAATAAAAATAAAACTCTTCCGCTTAATTATATTAATAGATAGATAAAAGCATATTTTACACGCGATACTTTTTTTTTCAAAAGCAAATCCGTGCTTCTGTGACTAACAGTTTTTTTTTAAATAATTAATAGAATCAGGAGAGATTGTAAACTGTGATGCGTAGACACCTTCGTCCGATCTTCCGTCGATTAACAATAAATATTGTTCAGTTTTTGTTACCTACGACCAGAAACAGTAGCATGATGCTGCTATGATACGTTGGTATTCTGTGTCAGCGTGACGTTTCCCGGAGATGGTTACGTAAACTTGTAATACCTAAGATTTGTGCTATTTTTGCTTTATTCGTTGCAAAGGTCAACTTTGTTAATATTGCATTATTCATTCCAGGTAGATCTAGACATGCGGATCGGCATTCACAGTGGCACGGTGCTCTGCGGCGTGCTCGGCCTGCTCAAGTGGCAGTTCGACCTGTGGTCGCACGACGTCAGCGTCGCCAATCATATGGAGAGCGGAGGCTTGCCCGGGTGACTTGAATTAATTAATAATAATGTTTCCAGAGCACTTCATTTTAACCGATTTTCATATTTCTGACACTTGAAATTATTATTCGAAAACATTCTCTTAGTGTACAGTTACAATGTTTTGAAAACGTTTTACTATATTTCTTCTAATTCTACATTGGTCTAGAAACATCAAATATACACAAATATCTGTAAACCTAGATCATAAACATAATTCAACTCTGACCCATTGTCCTAGGTAACTTGTGAGTCGACACCAAGCGGTGCAATCAACACCACACTTAAAATTAATCAACGCTTAGTACAGATTCGATCAAAATAAAAAAATTGGAATGACTTTCCGCCATATAGTGATCCCTCGGCTGTCAATATAAACCGGTAATTAAGCAAAACAGATATTTAAAAATATATAAAAAAGAAATAAAGGGTTTAAACCTGAATCTAGCTCTTTAATTCCAATAATTTCTGTATCATTCTCAGAGTATTCAGCATCGTCATCGTAATCAACATAACTTCTGCTTTTTTTCTTATTTTACTCGATTCATTTGAAGAGGTTTGCCTCTTTCTGGCAATTGTCCCTCGCAATCACTTCAAAAGTCAGCCTTTCAATTTGGCTTATAAGCTGCTGAACATATATATTTGTTTACCATCCTATGTTTAAAATTATATATTTTTATATAGAATAAGGGTGACAAACGAGCACACAGTCAACCTGATGATAAATGGATGCTGTGGCCCATGGACATCTACATTTATCCTCGATTATGAATCAAAACTCAGATGCGTTATCACCCCTGAGGACTAAGATGAAATGCCTGATTTCCAGTAAAAAAGGGATCTCCGGATCTCTTCACGCACTCATACGAAACACAGCAGTATTAAGCTGCTATTTTACACTGGTATTCTGTCAGAGCGTGGTCATTCCCTAATCGAGCCGACCCATTCGTGCTACAACTATACTACTAATATAACTGCAGCATGGCTCTACTACGTAATAAAAGTCTGGACCACCTAACTTGCATTCATACACTTCATAAGTCAAGGATAATTTACCATCTGAAACTGAAGTGATACCTGCAGTTTCCATTTCATCTAGCAATTTAAGACCGTGCTATTTCTCAATTTATGATTTCCATTTGTATTAAACACATGTAAATAGTTTCATGCTAAGTGATTTATATCTTTACATATAAAAATTACTTGTTACGTTGTTTGTCCGCGATGAACTAAACTACTGAACTTTCAATTTCAATGAGATTTTGCATACTGTGTGCAGTTTTTCCAACTTGAGAGATAGGGTGGTTTTTAACTCCATAAGTTACCCTTAATTATTTTATTGGGAAATTAAAGATTTTTTACTGGAAAATGGTTGTAAAGGGCAGAACAACGTCTGCCTGGCCAGCTAGTAATATTATAAATTTAATTTAGTATTATTTGAATTTATAAGAACTTCCTTCAATTTTTCACAGTCGTGTCCACATATCTTCAGCGACCTTGGAATGTCTAAACGGCGCGTTTGAGGTGGAACCCGGCGACGGTGGCTCCCGGGACCCGTACCTACGGGAACTCGGCCTCACCACCTACCTCATTAAGTCCACCGAGCAGCCGCGCAGGACCAGACATAGATCCAGGCCTAGCTGGTTAGTAAGCACCTATAAATCACAACGCACTTCTAACCAAAATTATGTCATGAAAGTCGGAGATCACAAGTTACCAACTGTTCATCACTTCCGAATACATTCAGCTTTCATCAATGTGGGAGAACTTGCAGTATCGACAGCCATGTGGTAGCAGGATAAAACAATTCATCAGCCCGTTTCATTCAGTTCTGTTTCCGTTCATTCAGTGTGTTGAGTAAGAGGCGAATATGAGAAACAACAAAAGATCTCATGATCACCAACAGATGACGGTAGGGGAGACTGGGGCTGGTAGTGACAGGGGTAGGTAGTTACAGCGGCAACGGCGGCTTAACTGAGAACGCTGTATTCTCGTGAGAAAGATACAAATGATCACGCGACCATGGGCTAGCACGCCCCGCGAACCTGTGGCGCTAGGGCTTTTGTGAGAGGAGCCCGTACATGTTGCCGTCAAAACCGCATGTTAGTAACATTTTCGTTTTTTCGTAATAAGTGGTCTAAAACCTCTTTTCCTTTAAAGCAGACATTTGTGTGTTGTGATATGTGTGCCCTAATCCTTTCTTATTGCAACGAATTTACGTTTATACAGTTATACTCATTTGTGTTTTTATTACTTAACGTTAAAAGGTCAGTTTTGGCGTTGGGGCTAAAAGTGACATTTGCTCGGGGCAGGTTGTTACTTGTTACTACCTACCCCGTAGTGCTGCTTGCCGACTGATATATTTGACTTATTTATTTTTTGCTAATGTAATTTTATTTTTTATTTTTTGTTCATCTTCAATTTATACTAAGCTTTTGTTTAATAAAGAAATTTATAATTTTCTGCCGGTTGGAAGTTACTTAAATTTTATTTTTATAAGGCGTAAGTCTAAACAATAAGATTATAATTTTGTTCAACGAAGTTACTATGTTTTTATTTTAATGAGGCAAAAGACTGTTATAAAGAAAATATAGTTTGACATTGTATACATAATAATTGTTATAAACTGTCATTATTCTCAGTAAAAAGTGTAAAATTACATTTGGTTTTTGTTGTAACATTTTGCCCCTTATAGTGTAACAACCAGCCCCTGGCGCGGGGCTAAAAGTTACACGCCTCTTTTCCCAGAATTAATTCATTTATGTCACTTCTAATAGTCTGGTATCTAAAATTAATTTTAAATTAATAACCCGAATAATTACTTATTCAAACAAACCTACATTCCGGTAAAATAATCAAACAAACAAAAAATTGCGAAACTTTATAAAAAAAATGTCACAACCAGCCCCAGTCTCCCCTACACATCAATGGTTCTCTCGTTTGGCTCTGCAATCTTCAATCTACCTGCCAAGTGTGACGATCAACGCAAATCCTCCCAACAACCAAATATTTCATGTAAGATTTACGGACTGTTGAGGATGAGATGAAGAAGTTTACCCACAAACACTGATACACTTACTCTTAATAGCCTACCTGTAGCCAAAGTTTATGTGATTACAACATAAGCATACAACATTTTGTACGTTGTAGAGCTATGCTGCAGCTATAACATGATTGTAGCACGAATAGGTGGACTCGATCGGGGAAGGACTACGCTCTCACAGAATACTGCTGTGTTTCGTATGGTGAGTGTAGAGATCCGGAGGCCCATTATTACTGGAAACGAAGCATTTCATCTTAGTCCTCAGTGGTGACAACGCATCTGCGTTTTGATTCATATTCGAGGATAATTGTAGAAGCTTATTCTATGAAAAATACAACATTATCGGATATAACTATATAAATAACGCAATATTTGACACAACGGATCGGACGGATCACCTTTCTTTGAATTGATTCTGACCACTTAGCCACGTGGTTTTACTTCATAATATGATATACGTAAAGTTATTAAAAATTTAATTTAAAGACGGTAACACTGCAAACTGTAAAGCATTGCAAAAAAAAGCAAAGCTAGTAACGAATAAGGGAAGCAGTATAATTCAAGGTCTTCTTTATCTGACGGCAACCTCAGTTGAACTGTAAGCTCGTTTGCGCGTTTAAAAAACTTATACAATAATTTCTATTACATTAATACGTAGATACCTACACACATACAGGTCAAGCTAACAAAGAACCATATAACAAAGCATGTAAAAAAACCAATTCTTTGTTAAATTTGAGTCTCAACTTTTGCATTGTCTACTTTTTCTGACAGTATCCAGCCTCCGGCACAGAACAGTGAGGCGACACCCCGCCGCCCCAGCAGCAGCATCGATGACGAAACCACGACAGATTGGACTCCTGAGATGCCCTTCCAAAGCGTACGTTATTATATAAACACAATTCGTATCAGCTTTCTATTTTGAAGTTGTCGTCATCCAATTCTATTGTTATTGAATCGATTTGACGGTTCCGCGGCACAGTTGCTAAACATTTCGCCGTCATACTGCAGGGCTTTGGATTTGACTCCCGCATGGAAAAAAATATTTGTACGGCCTTCGGCCTAATTGTTCTGGGTCTGGTCTTAAATCTATGTAAAATGTATATGTCAAAATGAATCCACGCACGCGCATGGATTACTGTGTTCTATTCTAAAATTTATAGAGAGCCAGCTGCGAGGATCAAAATTAATTATCTGAGTATATCCGTATAATGGCGTTGTAAGAATATCCAATACCCTATAGCGTTGCGTGGACTCGTATGAAACGGCAGAAGTAAACTGGAACATAAGATGGGCAACAGCATCTTCCTAATAACAACTCTAAATTTAAAAAAAAACTGTGGTAGCTAATTCTACTTCCACTGCAGTTGTGAGCACCACGCTGCAGTTGTATTAGTAGTATAGTTGTAGCTCGACCGGGGAAGGACCACGCTCTCACAGAATACCAGCGCAAAATAGTAGCTTAATGCTGCTGTGTTTCATATGGTGAGTGTAGAGAACCGGAGGCCCTTTTTACTGGAAATGAGGCATTTCATCTTAGTCCTCACGGGTGACAACGCATCTGTATTTTGATTCGTATTCGAGGATACATGTAGATGTCTATGGACCACAGCAACCACTTACCAGCAGGTGGGCTGTGTGCCCGTTTGTCACCCTATCCTATAAAAAAAATATATCGATGAGGATTAAAGTTGACTGCAGCTGTCCATGAACTGTAACAGCTACTTACCATCAGGTGAACTGTAAGTTCGTTTGTCACTTAAAAATTTAAAAAAAAATCTAATTACGGCCACACTTGAAAGACGAATTGACGATCTCAATACCGGATACTGGTGCCCGTTCAGAATGTTTTACAAAATTTTACATTTACGAGGCCATAAGGTCTTTTTTTCTTTGATAGTTTATTGCTTATATGGGTATTCTGGGTACGGTTTACCCACGGGACGTAATGGTGAGATGGATTCGCCATACGGCAATACTGAGACATCATTATCTTTACAGTTCATCAAAAGCCTACTGTTGAACATAAAACGGTACATAAATAATATAAAAATATTTTTGTGTTGGAACAAAAAGTGACGGGCAACGAACACAACACAGGCAACGATATATTTTATTCACATTCAAAAACTCTCTTCAAATCGTTTGAGTGGGCGACGGTAGGAATACATAGGAGTAGACAAAAGTTATACGTATAAGGCCTTTGCAATTAAAGATCGTATAATCAGTGTTTCATTTGGAGATTATGTAAAAAAAATATTTCAAAATATTTAAGAGTGTGTGAGCCAAATCTTTATATTTAAGAAACAAAAGTAAGAATGCCCCCTAATAAAATTAATAGGCCGCCCCTTTGACTATCAATTTGTTTTAATTTGCAGTTATTATTGGGAAGATGCTGCCCATATCCCGTTTTAGATTTCATTTGTCGCCTCTTGCGATACTCACAGTACAAAATACGGTATTTTTTTATTAAGTGCGAGCAGCTATGCAGGTCTAGGGAAATAGACCAGTATCACTGCGACCTAGGAGATCTATTGTGATCGCTGCTATGGTTATAGTTCACGGCTAAGCCCTATGTCTTCAATGAATAGAAGGAATTGCTTAGCCGTGAGCAATTTCACTTCTTCTGGGCGGAGTACATGGTTTCCCAGATGAGTGTTACGTTTGCGCATTAAGGGTCCGCAATCAGTTAGGATGTGTAGAGGCGTTCCGTCTTCCGTTATGGAACGGAACCGACACATCCTTGAGTTGGTTAATCCCAGGGTGGACATGTGCTTTTTAAGACAAGTGTCCAGTTAGGGCTCTTGCCAGAATGCGCAATTTATTTTTACTTAATCCCAGGGCTTCTGAAGCGAATTTACGATCAAAAGCCCGGATTAAGGTTTTAGAATGTTTTAAGCCTGGTGTGTCAGACCACATCTTAAGTGATTTATTGTGATAAAGAGTTTCAAGGGTCAATCGGGCTAGGCTTCTTGGGAATCCACAAAATGGCTCAGGTTCAAATTGTGTACACTTTGAGCCCTCCCGTGCAAGTTTGTCAGCAAATTTGTTTCCTACAATACCCTCGTGACCCGGACCTCGGAACCCATCTTAAAACGACCCTGTTGTTACATCCCAGGGCGTTTAAACGGTTCATGTAGTCTCCAACTAACTTCGAGTTCACTAAGTTTGACCTCAGCGCTATTAGTGCTGCTTGACTATCAGAGTTTATGTAAATTATATGGTTGAAAATAGGGTAGCATCTCGCGGTTGTTGTTCAGTAACTATAAAAAACGATCCCCATACTCTACTTAATATTTTTTATTCCTTAACAGTACTTCTTAAATACGGCAGTTGTCACGCGCTCCTCTCGTCCGAATAAACACGATGACGTTGAGCAGGGACAGGATATGGAAATTACGTCAATGTCAGATGTAAGTAAAATTTGATTACTACGATAAATGTGTGTATATATATATATATATATATATATATATATATATATATATATATATATATATAATTATATAAGCGAAATACCATTGACTTGTAAAGTATAGTCACTCATTTCCCAATATAGACACTCACTAACGGATTGTACGATAGTTTCATTAAAAAAAAATCTTGGTATTTTACATCTAGGTTCCGCAATAAAATTTCATCGTGCGCCCAGCAAAGCGAGCGGGTATCATCTGGTATATAGTATAAAGGAGAGGTGACAATTCATCTGCATTCGGCATCTATTTACCATCAGCTGGACTTTTAGCTCCAACAAAACTATACCTACTTCCAAGTTTTGAGATAAAATATAGCCTAATGATTTCTTAAATAATGATTTCTTAAATTTACGCGAACACTACACATTGAAAATCCGTAAATAATAGTTTTATTCAAAATATAGCCTAGATAATTCCTGGCTTTGCTCTTTAGCGTTTCGTGAAGTTTCATCACAAATGGTTCAGCTTAAATCTAAATCTAAATATTATGTATGATTTTTTACTGTCTTCTTTTTATTTTTCTTTCTTTTGCTTTCCCTTATTGTAAGTTATCTTGCATCTTTTATTCTCCCTACAGCCGTCGTCACCTTTAAAGTTATATTTCAAAAAGTCTCCTATGCAATGTACCATCCCTTACTATTTATGATATTATTTCTATAGTTAACTGAGTAACATAATACGTGATTGTAAACTGTTCGTTTTTCAAAGATAAATGTGCCGGTGGGTTTTTCTAGTTTTTCCCTGGACAGAGATATATCCTGAACCACTATTGAAAATATATATTTCTATTTTTACCAAGTTTACAAAATAAGGCGGCTTTTTTTTAGATAGAAGTCCGTCTGAGTTTTTAACAACTTCTAGTTCTAATTTTTTCATTGTTTTTTTACACTTTATTATTTTAACCGCCTTAATTAAATTTGTTACAAAGGGTGAATTTAATGTCTTTTGGTATTCTCAGTCTGATTAGAAATGGATATAGATTTATTAAATTAAATACAGATGATAAACTGGTTAGGAAAACACTTTTGCCCTGGGAAGTACCAGCAAGAAACCATGCGTTTTTTAAATCACTTAGCGGACTACCGCGCATCGTTTTCAAAGCCAAAAATCGCCGCGATCCACTATTAACGTTCGCTGTCGGCCAGGAGGATGACATAATCAACCACTCGATCGAGGTGAGCAGCAACAGGCGCATGCGCGTGGACAACATGCGTGCGTGGTCGCTGCGCTTCTGCGAGCCGGCGCTCGAGCAACGCTTCGCGCAGCAGGACGAGAGCACCTTCAAGTCAAACGTCATGAGCTGCCTCGTGCTCTGGCTCTTCATTGTGGCCGTGCAATATGTCATACATTATAAGTGAGTCCTTTCCAATACAAATTCAAGTATTTATTACGAGTCACGGTACAAATAAAATATCGAGTAATAGATAATCGAGTGCCACTCGGTGTAAAAATTTTAATAATTTTCTCTGTAATGACACCTACAGTATAGCACCAATAGATTATTAAGCTGAAGTTACATTGAGCCGGGCTTATAGCTCGAAGAACCGGCAACCGATGGAGAGAAAACGTTCTCAAGTGCCAGGCAATCCACTAGACATAGTAACGACTTGCGATGCCGGTAGCTGATGGATGCAGATGACTCTGACCCATGCCTTGTAGCATCATTTGGGAGAAACCTTTGTTCAGCAGAGGGCTGTAATAATGATGATGATGATGATTCTATTCGATATCACACCCACGCTGGTAGTTTATGATCTCAACGCTTGACAACTTCAAGACGAGTATGCTTACCAGTCATAAAATTTTACAAATAGTTGATACACCTGATGGTAAGTAACTACCGCCGCCCATTAACAACTGCAACACCAGAGGAATTGCAGGTGCGTTGCCGGCCTTTTAGAAAGGAGTAAGCCTTTTTCGTGAAGATCCCTAAGTCTCGGTTCGGAAAAATCGCCAGTGGTAAACAATTCCACAGAGAAGCTGTACGAGGAATAAAACTCCTAGTAAAACGCACAGTGGTGGACTGCAAAGCATCAAGATGGTGTGGATGGCATCGTGAGTTTTGACGGGATGTGCGTTCGTGAAATTGGCGGCTGTAATTAATCCGAACAATTCCTCGGAGCACTCTCCGTGGTAGACTGTTAGAAGCGATAGAAAATGCAAAGTGATGCAACATCCCTTCGCAGCGCGAGTGAATCGAGCCGATCAGAAAGAACTCGGTCGTCGTCGATTCGGGTCGCTCCGCGCTGGCTGCGACCAAGTGAATGGAGCTGGCACTGGGGTGCCCCGGCCCAAATTAAACAGAAAAGTCCATCGACGGATCCGACTCGGTCTTTTTATAGAATAAAGGTGAAAAACGAGCACATAGTCCATCTGATGTTAAGTGAATTCTGTGACCCATAGACATCTACATTTATTTTCAATTGTAGATGCGAGGACTGAGATGCAATGCCTCGTTTCCAATAAATAGGGTTTGCGGTTTTCTACACTCACATTAAGCCGCTATTTTACGCTGGTATTCTGTGAGATCGTGTTCCTTCCCCGGTCGAGCGGACCCATTCGTGCTATAACCATAATATAGCTGCAGCATAATTCTACCTCGTTTAAGCAGCGTCCGGAAAATAACTCTACATCTACCGCCATGTATACTTCAAAACTTGAAAACAAGTCTCTCAAACCAGTGATATATAGATTTGATACCTGTTCTTCACTGCTGGCCGTATGAGGTAAGCTCAAGGTCGCTCAGCTAGCTGTAATCGGAGTTTATTTGTGTGATAAACATGATAATGAGCATATCCGCAGCAGAACTAGAGTAACCGACACAGTTCAACGGATAAATATGCTAAAATGGCAAGTAGCCGATCATTTAAATATATCATATATTATATAGTTCGAAGAAAACTTCCTTGAGTGGCAGCCTCTTACCGGTAAACCAAGTGTAAGGGCGGCCATTTTGGTTCAGAATTTGACTTCTTCAGGTTGTAATGATGATGATTATAAATTGGTTACGAGACATTCCATCTTAGACCTCAGGGAGACAATGCATGTGCATTTTATCAAAGATAGATGTTGGTGTCTATGGGCTAGAGAAGCAACTTACTATCAGAATACCAGTGTGTAATAGCAGCTTAATGTTGCTGTTTCTTATTGTGAGTGTAGAAAAGCGGGTACCCTTTTTTGGATGACCCATTAATTATTTTTGCCACTATATAATTAAAACCCCGTACCAAAAACTGTGTGATTGCTGCGATAAGAGACGTCATCACACTGACTTCCGAGACGATTTCGTTATTCTCGGAGCTGAATTTCCAAAGATTTTCGGTCAGAGTTCTATGTATGCTATTAGACCTTAATACATTGCGCATTAAGTAACGGTCAAATCTCCGTAATTGCTTTAGTCTACTGCGAGCGAGCAGGAAGACAAGTTCTTTGTTTTGTAAACCACGAACGTTGTTTTGGCCAATCTAACACGGATTTTGTTTAATGTGACTAAGAAAATGTACAATTTGTCAGGGTGATTTAAAGTTTATTTCAGATAAGCATGTTTTCTTATTTGCCTAACACAGTAACTTTCGTAAATGAAAATATTAATCGCGCTAGCTATCCGCCCGCGCCCATGCGATCTACTGTGACACAGTCTTGGGTCTCATTTGCCGGTCTAGTAGGATACATAGAAGTTTTTGTTTCGGTCATTACTGACAATTAAGGTTTTAGCACAACACATGCTGAGCGATGTCTTACTTGCATGTTGTTGCTACGTTTCTACGATGTACATTGTACAAAGTCAAATTTATTAATTCTACATATTATTCAGTTAGAAAATTGATTATTGTTGTGTACGTCGGTAGTCCGTGTCAAAATAAAGTTTCTTTCTTTCTTCATTTCGCAATATTTATCAACTCCCGCCGAACAAACTTGAGCTGTAAATGTCTATAGGGTACCTACTGCATCCACTTACCCGTCGACTGTGTGGTTGCTTGTCAGTGTTGTTCTATAGAAGAACGTTATGTGTTAGCTCCTGGCGGCTTTTAGTTACTCAGCAGTACTCGATGTTGGCGCAACTCTCGTTGAATAGACTATAGATGTAGATGTGTATGTCCGCTTCGGTAAGCGACGGTGACGGTTCACGTGGACTGTGATCCCTTATCAGTGTAGTTGTATGAATGTAATGCTACAGCTGTTGGCGTTTGGTGGTAATGCTGGGTGTGATGTCGGTGCCGCTGGTGCTGGCGTTCTGCGCGGTGATGGCGGACGAGTTCCCGCGCGCCCCGGTGCGGCTGGCGCGCTTCGCCACCGCGCTCACGCGCACGCGCCGCCGCCGCAACCTGCTCGTGTGCTGCCTCGTTACCCTCATGTCTATCTCCAGGTACACCGCGCCAGCTTAAAGCCTTCCATCTTAGTGAACAGACCCGTCTTAACCGACATTTGTGGATAGCACATTACCTACTCCAACTAGTAGGTAATGTGTAGATGGAGTGACGACCTGGTAAGATATGCAGGAAGTCGATGGATGCAGGTGGCTCAGGACCGTGCTTTGTGGCATTACTTGGGGGAGGCCTATGTTCAGCAGTGGACTTGTGAAGGGCTGTAATGATGATGATGATGATAATGACATTACCTACATTTCAAGCGATGCGCTGCCTTTGCACGCTCATGTCCATCTCCCGGTATGTTCGCACCAGCTGCAACCCTTCCTAAGTAAACAGACACGTCTCAATCTACAAAGATAGACGGACAACATATTGGATTTAGGCGCATATTGTATGCGGGAGTGCAAATCCTTACAATAAGTTGTACATAGTTTCTTTTAGTTGAAATGTACATAATATAAATATTGCTCTATCTTTTTTCTTTTTAAAAAAACTGAAGTGACTAAGGACCTCACAATCCGCCTTATAGTAAAAGCTCCCGCAGGCCATGGACATCCGCAAACAGCTATAACTAACTATATTTACGACTAAGGTGAACTTATTTCCTACGTAGACAGTCACACAATGTATTCATCATTGAATTATATTATAGTATGTGAGGATAATATGGTCATCCGGTTAATATCGTCACTTTCTTATAACTCAAAAACTGCAGCCTTGTCTGCAAAGATTGTTTTGTGATACGATAGGGGTGATCCAAAAGTAATGATAATGAAAATAAAACACGGTAATTAAAGTTAAAATAATAATTTATTTTTCTACATAGTCTCCTAACAAATCAATACATTTAGTCCATCTTTTTTCTAAACCCAGGATTCCCTTTGAAAAAAATTTTTTATCTTGACCCTCCCAAAACGCTTCAACAGCGGCCATTACTACGCTATCGTCTTCGAATTTCTTGCCTCGGAGGCGTTCCTTGAGCCGAGGAAAGAGGTAAAAGTCACTAGGAGCTAGATCTGGCGAATAGGGATAGTGTTTGAGTAGTTCGAATCCCGTTTCTTGAATGGCAGCCAGCGCAGTTGCGGCTTTGTGAGCCGGTGCGTTGTCTTGGTGAAACAGCACTCCAGCTCGCAGTTTGCCGCGTCTTGTTTCCTTAATGGCCTCCCGTAATCTTCTTATTTGGTCTGCGTAGTAAGAGCCCGTAATAGTGGCTCCCTTTTCCAAATATTCCACCATAATTATGCCTTGAGCGTCCCAAAAAACAGATACCATAACCTATCCCGCCGAACTTGAAACTTTGAATTTCTTTGGCGTCGGTGAGGGGGCTCGCTTCCAAGTCATCGATTGTTGTTTCATTTCAGGATCAAAATGGTGGATCCAGGTCTCGTCCATAGTCACAAAACGGAACAAAAAATTTTCTTGATCTTGATTTTCTCGAAATGTCAACTCGATTTTTCTTTTGCTCGTCGGTTAACATTATGGGTACCCAACGCGCAGAGAACCTTTTTCATATGCAACTCGTTCGCAAGGATTCTTTGAACGCTGCCATATGAAATCCCTGTGACCTCAGCTACATGCCTGATGTCCTCTTTGATCTGCCAACACAACATCTTCGACTTTTTTCACGTTGTCTTCAGTGAGAGACGTGGATGGGCGTCCTTCGCGATGTTCATCTTCAGTGGATGTTCTGCCCAGTTTAAACTCCTTGGCCCAGCGTGCAACTGTAGAATATGGAGGAGTAGAGTCCCCCAATGTTTCCACTAAGTCACTGTGTATGTCTTTTGAAGACTTTTTTTTCGAAACAGAGGTACTTGATGACAGCTCTAATTTCGTTTTTCTCCATGTTGATGTTATCTCTTTGACAGTTCGTATTCAAATGAATGTATCTCCTGGAAATCGTGATCTATTTATATGATTTTTTAGACTGACGTAGTGAGTATATAAGCAAGCAAAAATAAATTTTTTTTGGATTTTTATGCGGATGAAGTAACCGATTATCATTACTTTTGGATCACCCCTACTGGCTTTGTTTATCCTTCAGTCTGAAACATTGAATGCAGTTACCCAGACGGACTCCTAAGCAGATAGACATAAACTTAGTAATATTTTTTATAGCACCACGAAACTGTACATCTGCCCGCCGTCGTTTTTGAACGCTACACTCACCGTACCAGCTCGACCCAACAACGTAACTGTAGAAAAGGAACGCGATGGCGAGTGCTACAGACCGGAATACGTGGTCTTCACTTGGATCCTGTGCCTTGTTGCGTTGACGTCCATACTGAAATTGTACTACCTCATAAAGACCTTCCTGGCGGTCCTCAATGTTGCCATATACGCCGTGTTGCTGCTTATCTACTACAACGAATACGACTTCGACTCCTTAAATGGAGGCACGTGAGTATTTTTCATAATTATTTCTAATTTTTTTATAATCTAAGGTTGTAAACGAACTTGCAGTCCACCTGATGTCCACCTGCAGTAGTCAATAAACTACTGCAGTACGTGATAATAATATAATGTTGGGTGATGTCCGCTTGGCGTCCTATAATTAATAAATTTAAATTTCAACCCAAGCATACCACTGCAAGACTTCCGAGATGTTATAAGTTTTTCTGCGTAGATCGGACGTAAAATCAATAATTTTAAATTAAATTTAGCCGATGTAAACTATACTAGAATAAGCTAAGAATTTCCGGTGGAGATTCGGTTACCACCTGCCGGCAACATATAACGCACGCACCCTGAGGACTGAGGAGAAGATCCTTGAGCTGGAAAAAAAGATAGACAAGTTGTGCTGGGATATTGTTAGATTATCTGAGGTCCAAGACCTGGTAATTCTCGAATCTGGCAACTTTTTCTATACCGGGAGGGCGACCATCTGTCTTAAGTAGGTGTCTGATTTATCATCCACAAGTCTCTCTTTAACAACTTTGTAAGAATTGAAAGTGTGTCGACGAGGGTTGCGTACTTTATACTCAGAATCACCAAACTGTATTCGCTGAAAATCATAAAGATTTACGCATCAGCCTCGGCATATCCTGATGAGAAGGTGAAGGAAATGTATGAGGATATCTCTAGATCCATACATTCCTCCAAAACCCAATATACGGTGTTAATGAGACTTCAACGCAAAACTGCCACAAGAGAGAACGGTGCGCTGAAGTTAGGGAAATAGGGCAACGGAACCTAAGGGGCAAGCAGCTGATCGACTTCATGAAGAAAGATCGGACTCTTTATGATGAACTCTTTCTTCAAGAAGTGGCCCCATAGAGAGTTGACCTCGTCGAGCCCCGATGGTTTGACAAAAAATGAAATTGACTTCGTTATGACGACTAGACGGCAACTGTTCAGTGATGTCTCATTGATCGCAAGGGAAAAACTGGCAATGATCACCGAATAGAGACAAGTAGAGAGTAAGAGGCACACTGAATCTAAATGGTGAATTAGAGAGGTCACATCTCATGAAGTCAATGCTGCGAACGATATGAATGACCAGCTCGTGGAAACTGTCCATGCGATTGGAGATATGTTCTCCAAAATACACCACAGAAGAACACAAAAACTCAGATCACACTCTTAATCACATTTTTGTTAGATGGGAAATGAAACTGCAGTTTTCAGCAGACTTCAATACAGCTCGTATTGAAAAAGTGATCGAGCGGGGAACCAGGGCTCCAAAGTTTTTGCCAGATATTTTTCTGACAGAAAAAGCCAACTGTCGAAACTGAAGACCGAATGTGACAGCATCGTTTCCGGGACACCTGAGATTTTGAGTGAGATTGAGAGGTTCTATGGGCAGCTGTACACATCATCGTTGGAGCCACACGCAAGTGTGAGTAACGATCCGAGAACAAGCTTATTCGACTCTATTCTGATGATATTCGGGACGTCACCCACACAAAAACGGCAAATCCCTGATCAAGGATGGAATTACATAGTCTTCTGATAGCGGGTGAAAAACCGATATTTGAAGGCCTTTTAGAAGAAGCTATTTAATTCCGTCATCCATGGTAGCACTACTCCGCAGCCGTGAAGCAGAAGTGCCGTGATCTTGTTCTTCAAGAAAGGTGACAACACTCTCTTCAAAAACTACAGATCATTTCCCCTTCTAAGGTCCTTATGGCAGAATCGCTGGAGGACCTAAGCACTCTATACTCAATGACCTCAATAGTGTCTACCTACCCTACTAACGGATAGGTTTTAAAATGAATATAAACAAAACAAAGGTCATGTGTAACTTCCGTGTCACAGCTATGCCGGTAGTTGTTGAGAGTAGTGCTCTCAACAAGCTTGAAGTTGTTGACGAGTATGTTCACCTGGGACAAATAGTCCGACTAGGTAAGTCCAACTTCGACCGAGAGGTCAATCGACGGATTCAACTCGGCTGGACAGCGTTCAGGAAATTACGACACATCTTTTCGTCAGGTGTACCTCAATACTATGGATCTGAGATCGTGCTCCTTAGCTGCTGGACGTATGAGTACGCACAAGGTTGCTCAGCGAGCTATGGAGAGGGCTATGATTGGGGTTTCTCTGCGTGATAAACTTAGAAATAAGGATATCCGCAGTAGAACCAGAGTGACGGACATAGCCCAATGGATTAGTAAGCTGAAGTGGCAATAGGCCGGCTGTATAGCTTGACGAACCTACAACCGATGGGGAAAAAGGTTCTCGAGTGGCAGCCTCGTACCCGTAGGCGAATTGTAGAACGGCTCCCACTAGATGAAGTGACTACCTGGTAGGACATGCAGGAAGTCGTTTAGGACCGTGGTTTAGGACCGTGCCTTGTGGCATTTCTTGGGGCAGGCCTATTTTAGCAGTGGACTTGTGAAGGGCTGTAATGATGATGATGAAAAGGGTAAACTATGACTTTGTGACGTCGATCACTTCAATAGCACCCCTCATGAACATAGGTGCTGCAAAGTACTCGAAACGTCGGAAATATATAATAATTTAATATATGTGATAAAATCTGTAAACGTTAATCCGATACTTTTTCTTAATATTATTATTATTAAGGTCTGTTATTTACATATTCTTATTTATTAATATCGTTTTTTTTGTACTCGTAAGAAGGGGCTAACGACCATGTGGCTCACCTGATGGCATGTGACTACCGCCGCCCATGAATAAAATATTTATTTTAAGGTATTATGACCGGCAAAAACTCATATGAAGCACTAACAACTGAAACACGCCCTCGTTCTATTCCAGACATCTGCCGTTCTACGTGCAGATGCTGATCTTGATGGTGATGTTTCTGGTGATCGTGGTGTACCACGCGCGGCTAGTGGAAGTGACGTCTCGGCTGGACCTGTTGTGGCGCTTGCAGGCCGAGACTGATCTGGAAGAGATGCGCGACACGCAGCGCACCAACAGGCACCTCTTGAAGCACATACTGCCCGATCACGTCGTCAACCACTTCTTGCAGAAGGATCGATGCCCCGACGTGAGTCTGTATATAGTTTCAGATATTGTCCTAAAATTATAGAAATATGTGAAAAAGTAACATAAATATTACGTATTACAAAACAATCAAACATCGATACATCGATACATGACTTTTAGCCTGATAGACCCGTGCTGCAGCTATCTATGGATGCAGTACGAATGAGTCGGCTTGACTGGGGTATAAGTATCTGTATTTTGATTCTTAATCCGTAAACACCACCTTTGTCACATATCGAAACAAACGCTTCCGCACACATCCACATCCTAAGGACATGAGAACTTCCCCTGTTCTTCTACAAGCAAGACGCGCCGGAACACAAAACGCGCCTTCCTAAACGGCTTACATTTCCATTTGCGCAACGAATCTCACGAACCTATTACGCGGAAGCGATTGTGTGACAGAACAACTCTGCCACCGCAAACCACCATGGCGAAACCGTGGGCTCACCAAGCACAAACGAAGCTTTAGGTTAGCCAAACTGGTGGCTCTAAGCTCATTGTGGGTGACCAGGGTACAGCTACTAAGCTAAACGGTTTAACATCTTCTTCTTCCTGTCCTTATCCCAAATTCTTTCGGTTCGGCATTGCATGTCTCCGTCTTTCATTGTCCACTATTAGCCGTCGTCTCTTCACTAATTTCTTACTCATATCATCTCTAATCTTTTCTTAGGCCTATCTCTAATCTTATATCCATTCACTTTCATAGCAAACATTCTTCTGTTACATGGTTTGCTTCCCTTAGCATAACAACCTATTCAACTTTTTCGTGACTGGAGCCACTTTTAAATGTTATAACATTACATAACATTATGTTACTGAATACAAAATTCTCCGTCATTATTTGAACACTTGTTTTCAGGAGCTGTACTCGCAATGGCGCGACGAAGTGGGCGTGATGTTCGCCGGAATCCCCAACTTCCACGAGTTCTACTCCGAGCAGAAGGCCGTCGACTGCATGCGACTGCTCAACGAGATCATTTGTAATGTACCAACTCACGATATTTTTTTCATCTATTGATAGCTTTTTCATGATGGCCACGTAGATTATTGTACAATATATATGTAAAAATTGGTGAAGAATTTCGGATGTTCTTAACCCGATCACGAAACAACAATTTGGTTAATTTGGCAACCAGACGTTACATCATTACTTACTTACTTACTACATACGGGCAAATAAAAAGTAACGCGAGGATATAAACACGAAATCGTTTCCGTTTCTAAGAACGCTAACATATTCTTGAACTGTTTCAGTTGACTTTGACAAACTGTTGATGCAGCCACGATTTAAAAGCATAGAGAAGATCAAGACCATCGGCGCCACCTACATGGCAGCATCGGGTCTTAACCCGAATCACAAGGTACATAAAAGTACCCTACTCTGGTACTCTGGTGTTCAAGTTACAATAATATTTTAGAAACAAATTGATCAAAATATCCACTATTCTCATTGTAGTGCGTTTATCTATCCAATATTATTTTTATTATGTTATCCAATCTTAAAGTTACAAGAAAAGTGGCAATGGGCACAGGGATATGAGGAGAGGCCTCATTTCTGAGAGGGTTTTATGACAAGGAAATGTCCACCACGCTGCCTCAGTGCATGTCGTCGAATTTCACATATATTCAAATTTTTTAGACGTTTCTGACGATGTTTTCCTTCACCGCCGTGCACGTAGTAAATCGGCACTTAAAATTGAAATTAACAAGTTTATTGGTGCCGGCGAGGATTGAAACATAATTCCTCGCGAATTGTGAACTGCGAGCACTTTTCTCTTCTGGTAGTTAAACCACCTCTTCAATTTATGTTAACAAAATTTTATTCGAATCAATTCGAATGCGATAAGAAGTTATCAACTAAAAACACCATTCCTTCGAGAAAAGTGCATACTCGTTTCTAAAAGGCCGGCAACGCATCTGCAATTCCCCTGGAGTTACAGTTGTTCATAAACGGCGGTAGTCGCTTACCATTGGGTGAACCGCGTGCTCGTTTGCCCCCTCTCCTATAAAAAAATTTAAATGTTCATCGTAAGGAGCGAAATTTCGACACAGTCTTATTAAAAAATTTGAGTCCTTCTTTGATATACGTACTTCCCAAGCTGCATTGCAAGCTGTATACGAGCTGTATGGATGTTCGTTTTTATACTAGAGGCTGTATTTTCTTATAAGTAAAAATTGGTACTGATTCAACTTTATGCATTATTAGCGCTATACAGTAGCTGTACAAGCATAAAAGAGGCTTTTAAGCAACTTTCGAATATAAGCGTTCTAAATTGAGTTTCTAACCAAATTACAAATGAATATAAAACAAAAATAACTCAATTTTCGATTACTAGATAATATTTATATACTTTATTGAATGATGGTGACATTTAATGTTAGAGTGAAAAGTTATATTTAAGATTTTAATGTTATACTCGGATTGAAGTTGAGTTTTGACGGGTTATCATTGGTGAATTGAAAGTGTAAAATTAGATTTACGATAAACTTGTATATGTTTCCTATTAAAAATAGCCATGATAGCAAAGTAACAAATAATATAGGGACAAAATACTTACGGTAAGTAAATATCTGTGGCAGGTTAGAATAAAAACAAAAAAATTATGGATATGAAGGCACAGTGGTCTTAGTCAAACTCAAAATAATTATATTATAGGCTTAAACTAATGTTTAATATTCCTAAGTTTCCTAAACAGCCTAAACGGTATTTCGAGGGTCTTATATAGTCTTAGTAGCTGTACTATGTATCTTATGGATATACGTATATCATACAGCCATCGGTATTTAATCAGTTATATAATAGCAGTTTTTTAAACACAACATATAATTAATTATGTTCAGAGAAACGTATAAAATGTTAAAAACCTTGTCCTAGGAACAGTATCGATTAACTCACAACGCATGCAAAGTGGTAATGTTATATCACTAATACAAATTTAAATTTTAGCTATTATTTATTTTTTATCTTTATATCGCCTTCAAAGGCAGAAGTCATAAAACTAATGTATTTACAAAAGTGTACAATTTGGCCATAAAAATAAGTTTTAGAAGGGTGTTTGCATACACCATTGTTCAGAAATAATATTTGAGTAATGTATTTACAAGAGTGTACAATTTGATATAGTTTTAGAAGGGTGTTTGCATACACCATTGTTCAGAAATAATATTTGAGTGATACTATAATAATACTTTGATCTGCAATAAGCAAGTGACATCATGCAAAAAACAGTTTCTAAACAGCTTTAGTGATAAAATCAAATTGAAGTGTTACAAAATACTTAAAGTAGTATACAAAAGTTTTCATATTCTAATTAAGAACCCTAAGCTTACTTAGATCCCATAATGGAGACTTTATACGGTTTGAGCTGTATAATCCGTACTAATATTATAAATGCGAAAGTGTGTTTGTTTGTTTGTTTGTTTTTTTTGTCCTTCTTTCACGTCGCAACAGAGCGTCGGCATGGCATGATTTTTTATATGGGGATAGTTCGGTGGCTGTAGAGTGACATGGTTACTTTTTTCCGCGGAAAAACATCTCATTCCCGTGGGAAAATAGAATATGTTGCAAAAGTTTGTCCTTCTTTCATGTCGCAACAGAGCGTCGGCATGGCATGATTTTTTATATGGGGATAGTTCGGTGGCTGTAGAGTGAAATAGGCTACTTTTTTCCGCGGAAAAACATCTCATTCCCGTGGGAAAATAGAATATGTTGCAAAAGTTTGTCCTTCTTTCACGTCGCAACAGAGCGTCGGCATGGCATGATTTTTTGTATGGGGATATTTCGGTGGCTGTAGAGTGAAATAGGTTACTTTTTTCCGCGGAAAAACATCTCGTTCCCGTGGGAAAATAGAATATGTTGCAAAAGTTTGTCCTTCTTTTTTGTCGACTTTTTTATATGGGGATAGTTGGCTGTAGAGTGACAATAGGATACTTTTTTCCGGGAAAAACATATTCCCGTGGGAAAATAGAATATGTTGCAAAAGTTTGTCCTTCTTTCACGTCGCAACAGAGCGTCGGCATGGCATGAATTTTGGTATGGGGATAGTTCGGTAGCTGTAGAGTGAAATAGGCTACTTTTTTCCGCGGAAAAACATCTCGTATTCCCGTGGGAAAATCTAATATGTTGCACAAGTTTGTCCTTCTTTCACGTCGCAACAGAGCGTCGGCATGGCATGATTTTTTGTACGGGGATAGTTCGGTGGCTCTAGTGACATGTTTGTGATGTGTGTTGTGTGACATGTGACGTGGGTTATGTTTTGAATTGGTTTTGTTGTTTTGATTTTAAAAAATATTTAAAAGGAATATTTATTCTTTTTAGATATTTTGGATTTGCTTTTAAAAAAATATTTAAAAGGAAATTTAATTCCTTTTAGGTATTTTAACGTTTTTTTATAAATAGGTTTTTTGTTACTTCATAATGCCTCGCAAACGTAAGTCCAGCCTTTCAAGAGTATCTTCTCAAAGACAAGCAAAAATATTAGCTCGATCGCTAGAATCTTTAGAAGATGCTGAACTGAGAAGGCAAGAACAAGCAGAGCGTCAGGCTGCTTTTAGAGCATCTGAGACACCTTCTCAACGTCAGCAAAGGCGTTTTGAACAGACAGAGCGTCAAGCTACTTTAAGAGCTACTGAAACACCTGCTCAAAGTGAAAAGGGTCTACAGTCAGTGTTTGATACTGAATCACCTAATCAAAGTCAGCAAAGGCGTCTTGAAATGGCAGAGCGTCAATCTACTTTAAGAGCTACTGAAACACTTGCTCAAAGTCAGCAAAGGCTATTCGAACAAGCGGAAATTCAGGCCGCCTTAAGAGTCGCGGAAACACCTGATAAAACTCAACACAGACTCATTGAGCAAGCTGAATGTCAATCTACTATAAGGCATCTGAAACATCAGAACAGACACAGGCGCGAAGAGATGCAAATGCACAGCTCCAGGTTGAATTCAATTATGATCCGTTGAGTGATTATAAAAATCACAGGTTAGTTGTTATCGGACTGATGGAAAAGGCGTGTCAATTTTGCAGCGCTTTAAAATGGAAAGATGAGACCGCAAGCATGTGCTGTTCCAATGGCAAAGTGTCTCTTCCGATACTTGGGGAACCAGAAGAACATTTGAAAACTCTCTTTTTATATGATGCTAATGAGTCACGGCGCCTTTTAAACAGGATCCGGAAATATAACTCATGCTTTCAATTGACGTCCTTCGGAGTTGACCGGGAAATAATAATGCCGGGATTTTCGCCTACATTTACGGTGCAAGGGCAAATTTATCATAGAATAGGTTCACTTTTTCCAGCTGAAAACGAACAGCATAAATTTTTACAACTATATTTTATGGGTGACGAAGAAATTGACGTAGACCGTCGCTGCCAATTTATCCAGGGAGTTGAGAGAGACACAGTGTTCAAAATTTAAAGATTCTTGCATGAACGTAACATTTTAGTCAAAACATTTAAAACTGCTTTAGAAAACCTACCTGAAGAGGATTATAACGTCGTCATTCACGCAGATCGACCCCTCGAGGAGAGCATGGAAGGCGCTACAATGCACCTTTGATAAACGAAATAGCAGCCGTAATTAGTGGTGATCAATTTTCTTCACGAGACATTGTCTTGCGAGCACGTGATGATACGTTGCGTATAACTTGTGTAGCCGATACACACAAGTTTTATGACGCTCTGCAATACCCATTGATTTATTGCAAAGGACAAGAGGGTTATCATTTTCAAATTCCACTCATTAACCCGGTCACAAAGGAGCCTACTCCGAACAAAAAAGTATCATGTATTGATTTTTATGCGTATCATATGATGTTGCGAGAAAATGATTTTAACCTCTTAGCCCGGTGTAGACAATTATTTCATCAATTTTTGGTAGACATGTATGTGAAGACATGTCCGTTATATCTTTAAATCAAAAAAGCTGCGTTGAGAATTATATACATTTACAAGATGCAGTTTCTAGTGACGCCAATGTAAACCCCAGAGCTTTAGGTAAAATGGTAATTTTGCCTACCTACATGAGTACACACAAGACGCATTCGCCTATGTACGAACTTACGGAAGACCTGATCGTTACTTACTTGCAATCCCACATGGAAAGAAATAACCGAGGAGCTAATGCCGGGCCAAAAAAGTACTGACAGGCACGATTTAGTCGCTAGAGTATTTAGATTAAAAGTACAAAAATTAATGTATGTAATTAACAAAGGGAAAATTTTTTGAGAGGTGCAGTGCTTCATGTATTCAATTGAATGGCAAAAAAAGAGGATTACCGCGTGCCCACATTCTCTTATGGCTATAAGAGAAGTTTGCGGCCCAGCCAAATAGACGACATAATAAGCGCCGAGATTCCGGATCCT